CTAAGGAAGTCTAAGTAGGCCATGCGCCAGTATATACACACAACAGCATGTAACATAATGAAGCGATCTAGCATATCAAGCAGAAGAGGTGAAAGTATGGACAGGTTGAGCGTAGTAGCTACTACGAATAACACTCCCGACAAGGCGAATGGCAGCCTTTCGATAAAATGTAGGCATCTGCCATTCTTAAAAATTTCTTTAAATAAGATTCGAAGCCGCATTCAGTAGGCATCTCGCATAGTGTTTCTGAGTGAGAAGTATAGTGATCTCGTTTGCGATACATCCGGCTTCTAGAAAGATCCATATCTTCACCACTGGCTAACAGGCTTAAACAGAATTTTTAGACAGTTGTTCCCAAATTGATTCTGACTCTTTACCGTGAATCATCCAACAATCTGTGACTTGCATCCTCCCTTGCTCTGCCTCTTATTGTACCTTAAAGTAAGATCTGCTGCAAACCGTAAGAGTGCACCAGTTGACTACTGCCTAAGCCGAGATCACACATTCTACAGTCTTTTCAGCCCCGTTGATTCAGAAAATACTGTCCGTTGATCTAGAAAGTGGTTTCCCTTGAGTGGTTGCAAAAATCGAAATGCCGACAAATTTTTCCCAAATTGCCGAACCATCCACTTCTGGGTCTTGTAGAGGTTTCACCCAACATCTCCTTCGAGTAGGCGGCGCATGATCTCCGAAAGTTTAAATCAAAAAGAAACTTTTCATCATCTTCTCGGTGGACCCTCGAAGGTGTCAAAACCGTGATTTATATATTAGGGCTCCATCTCGGTGGGTCACTTGGGGTGAGAAATCGTGTCATTTGCACCCAAAGATCCACCACCTTCCACGCAGCTGCCCGACTTGAAACACTCCATAACTATAAATAGCGGGAGAGTTTTGAAAACCACCAATTCCGGAAGGTTTATTTCATCAACAATTCCTATCTCCTATTACCCACTTTTCACGCCCAGATCCATTCTTCTCGGTGCTTCTCCAGTCGGTTGCGCACAAGAGTGTAACTTTTTTTTTAGTCCCCGGTTTAAGCAATCGTGAATACAACCAACCACGCCAACAAATCAGTGAACCACAGTGAATAACGACATCTGGTACTAATCCTCCCCAATCTGAGTGCCCACAGATCCCAGCTTTTCACACCTTCATTGATATTGGAATTTCAGGTCATCCTGGGCAGACTTTTCCCCGACTTTCCACCGTTCATACCAGTTCAACATTGGACAACTCGGAATGCCTCCCGACCTGCTCAAAGTGAAGGCCAAATCGTCACTCCCGGCCACGGGAGTGTCTGTCGCTGATGACATTACACCTACGATGCTGGCGTCGGAAGATCCCCAACATCGAAGTAACTCGATCCCGCAAAGACCATCCATGTCGAAAACGTCCGATTCCGAAGACAAGCTGCTACGCCAAAACCTCATTGGAAAGGTTGCAAACCTCCTACAACGTCTGGTTTCCCGATCCCGAGAGAACCTGGTTTCCTCTCTCAATTCCAACGCATCACTCAATCGCATACAAAGCCCTGCCGCCGACCACATACCGACTCTGGCCATCCTGCCGCCATCAAGGCCACGACTGAGATTGGTCAAAGAGACGAATTACGTGTCTCTAGAGTATGACCCAATCACACGACGCAAGGTTTTGAACACATATGAGATACGTGGGGAAATCGGCAGAGGTGAGCATGGCAAAGTTAAGTTAGCGAGAGACCTCACGACGGGCGAACTTGTGGCTATCAAGATTGTGAACAGAAAAAACAAGAAGGAACGCAGACTATTGAGCAATCGAGGCTCGATCGCTTCTCCCAACCACCCTTACAGCGACTACGAAACAAAGATCCGCAGAGAGATTGCAATCATGAAGCGATGTGATCACAAGTACATTGTCAATCTAAGGGAGGTGCTCGACGATCGCCGTTCACACAAGATCTACTTGGTTCTTGAATACCTCGAAAAGGGTGAGATCAAGTGGAAGAGGCTGACGCCGATCAAGTGCCCTGCACCATTGCATGACTCCCAGGAGTCCAACATACCATGCTGTGAAACCAAATCGCATCACAAAACGGAGGCTTCTCCTCTAGACGATAATGAATTGCTCGCCGACATTTATTCTCCCAATCTCACCTTCAGACAGTCCAGAAAGGTTTTCAGAGACGTGCTTCTAGGTCTTGAATACCTTCATATGCAAGGAATCATCCACAGAGATATAAAACCTGCTAATCTACTCGTCGGATCAGATAATACTGTGAAAATCAGTGATTTCGGTGTTTCTTTCGCATCGTACTTGGGAAATACCGATGAAGGTTTTTGTATGACTGAGGCAGAGCTTGCAAAGACTGTGGGAACTCCGGCCTTTTTCGCTCCGGAGCTTTGTCGTACAACCTATTCTGCCAGCAACAGCACCCTTCAAATGACATCTTTGGAGAAGGAACAACTGGAATCCAAGAGCGGTAGTGAAACACCCAAAATTACATACAAGATCGATATTTGGTCCTTGGGTGTCACGCTATACTGCCTCCTCTTTGGCAAGGTACCTTTCAACGCGGAACTGGAGTTCGCGTTATTTGATGTGATAGTCAATCAAGAGGTGGTCTTCCCGGAAAGTAAGGACGCCTTCCATTCTCCACAAGAGGTCAGTGATGAGGAATTTGAGATGGCTAAGGATTTGATCAGAAAACTTCTTGACAAGAATAGTGAAACTAGACTCACTATAAGCGCAATCAAAGAGCATCCATTCGTCTTGATGGATCTCGAGGATGACGTCGATAAGATTCATGAGTTTTTCTTCATCAATTCGATTGAAACAGCGGCAGCCTTTGACTCCTTGAAGAATCATGAAATCACCAAAGAAGAGTTAGATGATGCGGTCATTGGTGTCGGAAACAGGATCCAAGGCAGTTTCCTTCAAGCTCTTCGCTCAAGAGATCTGGAGGCACTTCGCAAAGCTGCACTAAAAATGGAAGCCAGCACCTCCTCAAGTGACGAATCTTCCAATCTTGCAACTCGCACGAACAGCAACACGATGGGCTACAATCCTTCCATAAACAATTCAGTTATTCTCCTGGAATCGGTACAGACTCCTCCTACGGGGTTGTCCAGAGCTCACTTACAGACATATGACGCAGGTTCTTTTCTCAAGTCTTCCTCAGGACAAACTGGTCAAAACTCACCAGAACCTTCAACGCTCTCGCGCCAAAATACGGGGAGTCGACCATCGGTCGTGCTTAGTCGCAACAATTTACTATTTCAGGATGTTTTAGAAACCAATAGTTCATCTTCGAGCAGGAGAGGAAGTGTCAACGGTTTTCAAGAAGCTCCTCAAATTGAGACAAAGCGAAACGTTGGGGGAGATCTTTATTTGAAAAATCAATCTGTTATTGACACTTTCAAGGGAATCCAACAACTAGATCAGAAGAGACGGAAGTCGAGTGCTTTCCTTCACAGCAATGCAAGCACGCCATCGAGTCCTAGACCTAGCAAGACGGAATCTATACTGGGTCTGGAATCCAAGCACCCTCTTTCACAGCCTCAAGCCATTCCAATGTCGACAGATTCCTCTGTCCTGAGCAAGATTAAGGTGGGCCCAATAAGTATTGACAACAAAAGACGCGCTTCATCCGTCATATCATTGCCGTTGACCGAAAGTTTTGCTTCATTGGACAGTTTCAATGATGAATATCTCTCACACAAATATCATGAGTTCAGAAAAAAGAAGCATGGAGGCTTCTTGCCAGAACCCGGTGTCATTAACTCCGACCCTGATCTTGTGAAACCTGATGCTTTCGATTCTATCAATGAGAAATTCAGAAATTTCAATTTGGGCTCACTGATGTCTGGCATGAAAAACTCAAGGGAAACAAAGACAAATGAAGGTGTTGCTCCAACCTCACGGTCTAGGTTCCTGTCATACTCGACGGGCACTAGGTCACTGACTTCTCGGTCACGCAGCAGTTGCAGTGGAAGTGGTAGCGGAAGCGGAAGTGAAAGTGAGAGCGAAAGTGATGAAGAAGCTGGCAACCTAACCTTGAAGTTTTCGTCAAAGGTGACCCCCCGGGGACGTCCCCCCTTCTTGTCATTGAGTAATAGGGCTCATTCACATGAATCCAACCTCCCTGACTTGATTAACCACCAGAATAACGTTTATGACGTACCGGTTGTGTTCCAAAATGACCTTGTCGAGTTTGAGGACGTTCCTGAAGGCTTGATGGGAAATGTACAGAAGGCCGCTGACACTGACATGAGTGCCTCGGTTTCTGTCCTTTCCCTGAATTCCAACGCAACAATTACTTTTGATCAAGAGGAACAGCCTTCGCTTTTACAAATTCCACGCAAACCATCGGTACAGCGTTCGCCGTTGCGGAATCAAGTGAACCTTGACTCCTACTCAAATGGCAGTTCACTGCAGGAAAGAGAAGCTCGGGTTAATGATGCTGTTCTGGGAGTTGCAAAGTCCGCAATGAGATCAGGTTACTTCAGGAATCATTATAAAAAGGAGCCTGTTCATTCTCCATTTCCCAAATCCAAACATCTTGAAAATGATCGGGAATCTGTCGTCAAGCAGCAGATGAGAGAAGGAACAGAGCTCGCACGCCCGGTTCATCAGCGTTCGAACTCCATCACTTTAGGGCTCCTCCAACACATTCGTCCTGACCCGATGAAAGAAGAAGCAATTTGACTGTGACATGCTGAAGTATTCTGGGCATGTCCACAGTAAGATTGTAATTGTTCCGTGAATAAGTGTGCTAATATATCATTGACATGGTCGTTGACCGATCATGAAAGACCTACTTTCAACACATGTAAACTTACATAAGTGATCTTTCTCTTATCATTATTCTTTTCTTTATATATTCCGGTTTAATTGTATCCTATCCTAGGATTCTCGACCAGGTGATGAACCCTTCCCTCACCTTTAAACTAACTAATAAAATCAAACGAACCAGAAAGTTGGTTCATAATAAGTCGCTGATTGCGTCAAAGACATGAATTGACTCAACTCAATTCAAGTTTCTTCTTCAAAACAGATAACCTGTTGCCAATACTGACCACAAATTTCTCGACCATAGCCCTATCCTCGTTATCCAACTTATCAACATCTGGAGACTCCTCATCAAGAAGAGCCTCCAACATCCAAATTGCTGTGCTATAAGCGAGTTCACATCCTTTCAAATCTTCTTTCACCAACTCATTGACTGCGGCATTCCTTGATATTTCAAGAGCTCTATCAAAAATCAACTTCTCTGCAACAACATGTACGGAGTCACTGTTGGCATCTCTACTAACTGTAGTTGCAGTCGCAGTCTCGGTTAGATTCGAGACGCCAGTTATCTCTTCCTCCTTGTTGATGCTGGCGTTTGCCTCCTCCAACCTTAGCTTGATAAACTCTGCCTTCTCGAGACATTCATTAAATTGATCCCGAATCCACTGTACGAGCTCGTTTATTTGAGACGAAACCTGAAGATCCAAGGACCGAACAAGCTGTTGCTCTCCTGTTGACTCGTCTTTGTCATAGTGAGTAAGCCACCAATTGCTTGCTAAAGCCATACCTTTCGCAAGAAGAGAGAGCGTCTTCACGTACAACACAACGCCCTCTTCACTAATCGCTTTAATCATCTTTGGGGGAAGCAAATCATTATGCTGCATGATTTCATCATCATATTCGTCTGTAGAAGGAGGCGAAGGAATCAACTGACTGAACTTGACATCCGCAAACAAACTGATAGCATGAGACTTTGTTGCCAAAGACTCCAATTGAGATAACACTTTCTCGTCGTACGGCAATTCGCTCCTTCCAGCTTGATCCTGATTATTAGCAGCCAAGAGAGTGTTCGATGTGGGAAGCTTCACTTTTTTCAATAACAAGTTATTTGCAAAATCTGGACTCGAAATCAATGTCGAAAAGTTGTTGAGCTCGCCAGTTTGAGAGCCTTCTTCCGGTATCTCAGCTGCTTGCGCTGCCCCGCCAAATAGACGATTAGAGGCAAGACTAATAGCTTTGCCCAAGGCATTTGTTGGAGAAATTGATATCGAGATTCTCCTTTCCCCGAAACTTGGTCTACGACCGGAAGACCCAGAGGATCTCTGTGACGATCTCCTCAGTAGTACAACGTTGCGCTCGCTCCCCTGAGGTTGTAAGTGTTGAGTATGAGAGGCCACAGCGTTCGTTCCAACTTTTGCTAATTCATCAGCAATTGCATTAACTTCCACTGCACGCTTCTCGACCACAACATAATCCTTTTCCAAAATCACGTCATTATGAGGACGCTGACCCGGCTTGATCTCAGGATATCTTGGCTGAATAGAATGTGTGAGAGCGGTAGAATCAGGGCTATTCTGATTGATGATCAGTTTGATCTGCTCATCCCTTGAATTCGAGCCATGAGCCATGAGTTCTCGTGGGTAGTCTCTTCTGATAAGCTGAGGATTCGAAGGGGGCGTTGAGTTCCCTGATCTAGACAGAGAACGACCCTCCTCGTTCCTCTGGTTGTCCTCGCTCGTCGTGGGCATTATCGGCGAGACAAACTTGGCCCTATCAGAGGCCTTTATAGGTGAGATGTACTCACTGATGAAAAGGTTTGTATCCATTTCGGATGTGTCCAATGGCCTATCCTTACCCTCCAACTCGTTCACTATTAGTGGATGATTGAAGAATTCGTTGAACGAGACACGCTCTGTTGGATTGTATTTCAAGAGTGATCTGATCAACTTGCGGAGCGATTCCGGAACTTGTGCAGAGGAGGGAAATTTGATCTTATCGTGCGTCTTCTCGATGGTCTTTAATAACTCGATATGATTTGCAGCACGAAAGGGTGGTTTGCCAACAGTCATTTCATAGAAGACAGCACCGACGGACCACAAGTCAGCCTTTGCGTTGTATTTCTCATAACGCAAGATTTCTGGAGCCATGTACAACGGCGAGCCGCATAATGTTTCGGCCATTGATGTGGAGGGTAAGAATCTTGCAAAGCCGAAATCGGCAATCTTCAAGATGGGGAGCTCCCATAGTCCGACGAAGTTTTCCTTCTCAAACTGCTCCCTAGAGTGTACCGGCGGACAAAGAAGCAAGTTCTGTGGCTTTATATCCCTGTGTACCAACGACTTGGATCTCAAAAATTCAAGAGCAGAACTGAGCTGCTTCAAGAAATGTATGACGAGTGTTTCATTCAAGCCGTGGGACCCCTCAAGGGAAGGGTAGCGTGCAAGTAGCTGCGAAACAACCGGGTGGGTCTTCACAAGCTGGTCCCGACGACGGATGAAGTAGGACAAATCACCCATGGAGCAGTAGTCCATCACCAAGTGAAAGTGAGTAGACGTCTGATGATAGTCAAGTAGCCCCACGACATGGGGGTGCTTCATGGACTTAAGAATGGAGATCTCCACCTCCAAGTTCTCGATAAGCTTCTTCGACTTGAGCTTCAGGCGCACCACGGACTTGACAGCCACGGATTCATGGGTGTTATTGTCCACGCATTTGTATACGGTGGCGAAGGAGCCCTTCCCAATCTCGGGTCCGATCGTGTATACACCTATGGTTTTAGACATGGATGTGGTGATATGATCTGTCAGATGTTCTGTGCTATCAGGGGTCGACCTAATTTGTTTGTTGCAATGTAAGGTTTATCAGGATTTGTAATCTGATGAGACGTTAAGTTGAATCCACTTGCAGTCTATAATGTAGTATGGCCCTTGCCACTACGCGAGGGAGTGAGTCAGAGGGAGTAGGCCAAAATTGTGGAGTTCCGTATCAACCTAAAAGAACAGTGTATGCGGTGATGATGAGGAAAAATGCCAAAAGTTTCCCTTATTTGTGTATATGTGGAGGCAAAATACGCCGTGGAGTAGTATGGGGTTGAGGGCGTAAGGAACCACAGTAGAGGGGGGAATGATACACGATAAGATAAAGTCATGTGCCGTTGGTCAAGTGATGAGTCCGAACCAGGACTTGCCTCGAGGCACGGGGAATCTGCAGAACTAAACAGGAAAAAAAAAGGCCAAATGAGATTTGGGGTAATACGGGGCTCTTCCAGTTCGTCGTTTACTCAAAACTTTCGAATTATTACAGTTTTCCTCTGACCTCTAGTTGTGGTGTTGATATACTTTTGTTGCTTCTCTTAGTACGTGACGGTTGGCTGCGAAATGGCTTGAGGATTGCGGATTTTACTAATCTTACTAAGTACGATAGGATCTCATGAAACAAAACTTACTCTATAAATTCGAAAAATCATAATTACATCAAAAACACATAAAGCCCAGATTCTTCTGACTGTGGCTAATTCGGTGAGGTGGCGCATTCTCCGCTGACTAAAACCCCCTGACTTGACCCCTGCAACGTTAGATCTAGTGTATACATTACCGGAAGGGTAACATGATAAACGCTTCATTCGGTGCAGACATGGACTAAAAAGTGGAATTGACACACACAGTCAGCAACAATAGAAACGAGAAGCCAAAACCCAATAAACTCCATACGGCTGGATCTTCAGTACGGTTCTGCATCATAAGCCCGTGTGCGTATACACTTCCCACTAGTCTTCCATATTATGAACCCATTGAACAATGAGAATATCTTCAGATTCTTAATTCTCTCCTACTATTAAGAGTATCACGTCAAAATTACTATTGTCTGAATTTACATTCACTGGTGATTGACGTGCCAGGTCTTGTCTTACAATTGTATACACAACCACTCGCTAGATTGCTCTATTGATGCTTGTTGGTCCACACAGCAGCACAGCCTTTTTCATCCATTAGTACTAGATCATGTTTGAATCCGTTGTTGCAACATTGTTGAACCGCTTCTTGGGGTCTTACATAGAAAACTTCGATACCAAGCAGCTTAACATAGGAATATGGTCTGGTGACGTTCGCTTGAAGAACTTGAGACTTAAGAAGGAGTCGTTAGACAAATTCAAATTGCCAGTGGATGTCAAGTTTGGCCACTTGGGAGAGCTTACGTTACTGATTCCATGGTCTAATTTGAAAGGAAAGCCAGTAAAGGTGATAATTGAGGACGTGTACCTTCTTGCCTCTCCAATCATCATCAATGACTTTGATGCTGATGAAGACGCTACAAGGGAACAGAAGCTCAAGCAAGAAAAGCTTCAGGACTTGGAAGCATTACAAAGTGCAATTGCCTCCAATCTCAATGCTGCAAAGGGTGACAACCAGGCCGCCAACGAGTCCTTCACCGAAAGCTTGGTCACCAAGATCGTCGACAACTTGCAGGTCACCATCAAGAACATCCATGTTCGCTATGAAGACGAAGGCGTTTTGACAGACTCACCGTACGCATTGGGCCTTACCCTCGATGAATTGTCGGCCGTTTCGACGGATGATCAATGGAAGCCTAGCTTCATCTCGATTACCCAGAGCCTTTCCAGAAAGCTACTCATGCTCAAGAACTTCTCGTGCTACATGAACACGGAAAGCTCCAGCATCTTTTCAGGTACGCCAGACGAGGTTCTTGAGGCTCTTAAATCCACACTTGCGACCAGATCTGAGAAGCAGTACCTTCTCAAACCTGTTTCCGGAGAAGGGCGTCTTACCGTCTACAAAACAGGTGCCACTGAAACGCATCCGCATATAACAACTGAGCTCTTCTTTGATGAGTTTGGCGTTGAGTTCGACAGCAGTCAGTATAGAGACGTGCTTTGGACCGCTTCCAAGCTTCATTGGTACCAAAAGACGTGGAAGTTCCGCAAATACAGACCTAAGGTATCTGTTGAAGAGGATCCAAAAGAGTGGTTCAGATACACAGCAAAGAGCATCCTCGGTGAGATTCACGAGAAAAACTATTGCTGGAGCTGGGATCACTTCAAGAAGAGAAGAGACCAGAGGAAGAAATACATCGGTTTATGGAAACAGAAAGTCCTCAAAAAGACGCTCTCAGCGCTGGACGAAACCATGTTCGAGAAGTTGGAATGGGATCTACCCTACGAGGATATTAGGTTTTACCGCTCATTAGCCAGAAGTGAGATTCGTAAGGAGAAGCTCAATGCTCCTCCCGCAACACCACAGCCAGTATCGCAGGGTGGCTGGATTTCTTCATGGTGGTATGGCAACAAGAGTCAGGAAACTATCGAGGCTCCTAAGTCTGAGGGCGGTTTGAACCTCACTTTGACAGATGAACAGCGCAAAGCCTTATATGAAACTATCGACTTCAACGAAGATGACGCTATCACTGATGCTGTGAATATTCCACGCGATAGGGTTACTGTCGAGGTCTTCATGACCGTCAAAAAAGCCGGCATTTCCTTGAAGCCTGTGAAACATGGCCCTAGCTTGGCAGAAGTGATTGTCGAGGGCTGTAGAACACAGCTCTATCAAAGACCCGACTCTTTTCTTGCTAACTTCCAATTGCAAGAGCTTAAGGTCGAGGATGGGACTTCAAAGACTCTTTACAAACATATTGTCAGCGTTAAGCATGTCCATTCAGATCTTCATCAATCTGTGGAGGAGTTCCATGATGCATCTTCTTCCATAACGTCCCAAAAACAAGATCCGTTCTTCCAAGTATCTTTCGAAAATAATCCATTGGACGGCAGCGCAGACTCAATTCTTCTCGCCAAACTTAATTCCATGACTATTTTCTACAACGCATTCTTTATCGAGGAGATTATCAAATTTTTCAAACCTCCCAAGATACATCTTGACACTATTGGAGCTATAATGAATGCTGCTGAGGCCACGATGGAAGGTATCACCGCGCAAACCAGATTGGGTCTTCAATATGCATTAGAAGAACATAAGACCATCAATGTAAAGCTCGATCTCCAGGCGCCATTGATCATTCTTCCCCTTGATCCTACGAGTTGGAAATCCCCCGTGGCTATATTGGATGCTGGTCACCTTAGCGTCACGAGTAACTTGGTTGATAAAGCAACCATTGAAGAAATCAAGTCGAAAGAGAGCTACGACAAGGAGGACTGGACCACACTCAAAACACTCATGTATGATCAATTTAACCTCCATCTTCAGGATGCGCAGTTCCTCGTGGGTTCTACGATCAAGGATACAATGGAACAGCTTCATACAGAGACTTCAAAACAGTCAGCTGTCATGCTCAATAACTTGGATATCAAACTAAATCTAGGTGTATCAATCATACCCGAAGCTACGAACTTGGCACGGTTCAAAGTTGGTGGAGAAATACCAGAGATCAACATTGCGCTCAACGACTTCCAATACAAAACCATCATGAAGCTTGTGGATGTCCTTATACCAGATCTTTCTGATAATGATGCAGATGACAACAGTGTTTTCCATGCCTTTGGTCAAAAAGGAGAAGAATACAAGCTAGAGGACGTCGAGGAATCTATGAGTACTCTCACAAATGCCAAGAGGCCCGAGAACCCACAACACATGTTTGAAATGGATTTTAAAGTATCAAAGGTGAATATGTCATTGAAGAGATGCAAGGATGCTGTTACATTGGAAGCAGAGCCCTTCCTCAACCTCATCGGAGACACCTTGAGATTTACTTTCTACAAGACTGATTACGATATGCACCTTGACTTGACCTTAATCGACATTGATATTATCGACCATATTGAGAAGTCTGGCGTTCCCGAGTTTGAAAAGTTGGTGTCCTCGAGAAACTTTACGGAAACTGAAGCCGTCAACCGCAAGCAAGAAGAACTTTTCAAAGTTGATCTCACAAGGACTCAAAGAATTGTCGAATTTAAGGGTAATGATATCGAAGTATTTGATTTGGACATAATCGTGGATATGTCTGCCGTGAAGTGTGTGGTTTCAAGAATGTCATACTTGAGCATTCTTAATTTCATGTTGAACACCTTCACCGATCCAAATGCGGAAGAAACACCTGCCGACAAGTTGAAGCACAACGATTACAAAGATGATAGAGTTGCTCCTCAAAAAATCAACGTGAAGGTAAACCTCGATAGTATTATCGTCGTCCTCAACGAGGACGACCTAAAATTGGCCACTTTACAATTGAGCACAGCAAATGTCAAGGTTTTCGTCCTTCCAGAGGCTTTGCAAGTGAGTGGCTGCCTTGGAGCTTTGTCTTTGCACGATGAATCTAACGAGGGCTCACCAAGGGACTCTATTTTCCGTAATTTGATCAATATCGATGGTGACAACTTGGCGGAATTCACTTACAAGACATATGACCCAGCCACCAACAAGGAGCCATTCGATAGCTATATTGAGTTCATTACCGGATCTCTGACCATCAACTTTGCAGAGGATGCCTTCGGAAAAATATTCAACTATCTCAATAAGTTTGCTCAGATGAAGGCCATCTATGATAAGGCTCGAGATGCTGCCATAAACCAGGCAAACCAAATTGATGATGCCATCCGGATAAAGATGAATATTTTGGTCCGGGCGCCCACGGTTCGTTTACCCAAACTCATTGATGTTAGCAAAGACGAGTACGATGTTATAGTTGCTGAACTTGGTGAACTCTACTTAAACAATGAGTTTGTTACCAGAGATTCTTTGGTGTACAACGTGATGTACGCCGGTCTTAGAAACACCAAGGTTACGTCGAGGTTTCATCTTGCTGATGTTGTTCAAGAAAGTCAGATGGTTGAGAAACTAGACATTGGCTTCCAGATTGACTATCTTGAAGAGTTCCAGGCAGACAAGCCTACTTTTAAAGTATCTGGAAACTTACCAGAGCTCGATTTTCATTTGTCTGAGCTTCAGCTTAACTATTTGTTCAATCTCCAAAATAAGGTAAGTTCTGTCTTTATGGCAACCGGCGACGACGACTCTATGGACGAAATTGAAGCCGACGCCGAAAACGCAAATGCTTTAATAGCTCATGATACTTCTATTCAGAGGCAGAAGGATCAAACTTCTTTCGACGGAAAAGAAATTCAGAAATCTGAGCCTAAAGGCTCCGCTCAGAACTCACCAGAGCATATCAAATTTGACGTTGCATTGGAGATTCCACAAATTTCTTTAAGCCTCTACCACAACACGAATGACGTGGCGTCGATCGAAGAAAAGAAACTTGCATTGATGGCGGTCAAGGACTTGAAAGCACTGTTTGTCATGAAGGATGACGAGAATTTTAACTCGGACCTTTCTATTAACGCGTTCACAATTAGCGATGTGAGATCGAATACCTCGAATAAGTATACTGAGGTGATTCCACTGGTTCAAAGTGAGGGCGATCAGTTTAAGCTCAACGCTTCCACAGGATCTACGGGCGTGGCAGATAAGAAGGCTACGACGGTCATGTTAACTATTGAAGAGCCGCAGGTCATCCTAGCTCTTGATTTCATGTTTGGATTGCAAGCATTCGCTACAAAAGGTTTGCAAGTTGAGAGTGTGTCTGCCGCGTTGGAAGCCGAAGATGATGAGTCTGACACTGAAGATTCATTGGAAGGTCGACTCAAAAATGCAGAGAAGGAAGAGGAGCAAACTTTGGCTTCAGCGCTTGGATTTTCTATTAACATCACCAAGCCATCGATTTTGCTTCTTGCTGATTCAACTAAGGAGGATACTGAGGCGATTGTGTTCAAGGTGGAACAAGTTCTTGTGACAAGTCAAAATATTGTTTCACTTGCCGCCGACAGTATAGGCATGTTTGTTACAAGGATGAACGACTTTGAGAAAAATATTCGAATCATCGATGACTTTTCGATTTCGTTCGCCTTAGACGGAAGAGGCTCGACCTCTACATCGTTCTTGACCAACATTCAGCTCTCCATTGACCCCTTGCTCGTTAGACTTTCGTTGCGTGAAGTTCGTTTGGGAATGCGGATTGCCAATAGAGCAAATGAGCTTTACGCAGAGGCAATGGGAACCGATATCGAGAACTCATCTGAGCCAGACCATAGCATAACTGACGACTTCAAGCGCCGTCTTTCACAATATGCGCCAAGTGTGGTATCAGGTTTTTCGAGGGAATCAGCAAAGAGAAGAAGACGTTCACTAACCACCGAAGTGATTGTCAAAGGCGAAGAGTTCAATGCATCTTTTGGTGGTGCCAGATTTGTTCTTATTGGTGATGTTCACGAATTGCCTGTTATTGATGCGAATATCAATCTGTTCGAGACTAAGGTTGTGAATTGGTCTACTGAATTAAGCGCAGAATGTCATCTTGAGCCCTACGTGAACATCTATAACTACGCAAAGTCCACTTGGGAGCCTTTGGTGGAACCATGGCCTGTTTCGATATACGCTTCTAAAGCTATTGATCCCAAGCCAAGTATCATGATAGATGTTGTTTCTAGAAGTATGGCTCAAATCACGGTTTCTTCGAGATCCGTGGCTTTACTTTCCCAAATTTTCTCAGCCATAACTCCTGATGAAGAACACAAGTCCAGAGATGAGGTGACTCCATATATCATTCTTAACCAGACAGGCTATGACCTTGAGCTTTGGACTGATCGAGGCGAAAAGCTGAGAAAAGAAAAGAAGGTATTGAAGGACAAGGAGAAGACTCCATGGTCGTTTGAAGATTGGAGAGTCATTCGTGAGAAGTTGGATACTGACAATGAACAAGATGTTCTTGGGTTGAAAATTCTCGATTCGCCATATGACGAGATCGGCAACATAAATGCAGCTGGAGTGGGCGAGCAGATATTCATGTTAACTCCAGCAATCGAAGGAGTACACAATAGACTTGCTACGGAGATTGTTTTGGGGGACGACAATGTTAAAACTATTATCTTGCGTTCCACTATCAAGGTTCAAAATGACTCTGATTCAGGGATCGCTCTTAAATTTGTTGACGCGGAGAAAGGCCGGGACACTGAACTTGTTGTCGATGCTGGTGACACCAAAGCACTTCCAATTGACATAGTCTTTTCAAGCAAGCTCAAGATCAAACCTTACCTCGAAACTAAATTCAATTGGTCTAATGGGACGTTGGAATGGAGGGACCTCATGAAGCAGGGGACCGCCTTGTCTTGTTCATCAGTGGGAACCGGAGAAACCTCCGTGTTCTACTATCAAGCAGAAGCAAACTACGACGAAGATGAGCCGCTTGCAAGGATCTATCCCCATTTCACTTTAGTGATTTCTGCACCACTTGAGGTTGAGAATTTACTTCCTTTCGATTTCAATTTCAGATTGTACGACAAAAGCAGCAAGAAGGACTGGAGTGGATCTGTGAAGAAGGGTGAAAGCACTTTTGTCCATGTTGTGACTCTTGACGCTCTTCTCTTACTCAGTGTTGAGCCTCTTGATTGTTCATTCGGTAAATCTGAGTTTGCAATTATCAATTCGACAAAGAAGAGTGAGTTCAAACGGGAGGTTCTCATAAACACGCGGAGTGAATCAGGAAGAAACGTACGTTTGAAGATGCATTATCCTAAACATGACGTGAAGAAGAACTTGAAAGTGTCGATCTACAGTCCTTACATCCTTTTGAATAGGACTGGTCAAAGCTTATCAGTTGTGGATAAAGCCAGTCGCCTGAATGTGTTGGAAACCTCAAGCTCCCTTGAAAACATCCCACACATGTTCTCATTTGACAGGGATGGCGAAAGGCTGAACAGAGGCCTTGTGAAGATATCCGACTCTGTTCTCTCTGCTCCTATCAGTTTCGACGCCATTGGTCAGAATATGGGATTGCTGGTGCAGCTTAACCACAAACAGACGGAAATGAACTTCGGTGTATCGATTTCTGAAGGTGAAGGAAGGTATCAGCTTTCAAAGATTGTGACCTTTTCACCTCGATATGTTATCAAAAATGCCATATCAGAACCCCTTTGTTTGGTGGAGAATGGCTCAACAAAACAGATTCTGCTCGACGCCGGTCAACTGATTCCTCTTTACTCACTCCACCGAGTTGAACACAAGAGCATTATGCTTAAATTTGAGAACAACGGAAAAGGCTGGTCTTCCCCATTTGCGATCGATGATGTGGGACAGATCTTTTTGAAGCTCCAGAAGGAGGGCCAGGGGCAATCACTTCTAAAAGTAAATGTCATGACAGAAAATGCCACCATATTTATTCAAGTCGAGAGTGCTCACAACAATTGGCCTTACTCTATCAGAAACTTCACGGATACAGAGCTTTACATTTACCAAGCTAACCCCAATGTCGATCTGAACGGAGAGGTTGTCAAGCGAGACACAGTCTACAAGCCAGTGTATTACAAGGTACCCGGAAAGAGTGTTATGCCTTATGCTTACGACTATCCAAACGCAGTTGTCAAGGAGTTGATTATCAGAACCAGGGGTCGTGAGAGAGCTGTGAACTTAGCCGAGATTGGTAATCTCAAACCGTTTAGATTGCCAGCGACCGAGCGTGACGTACAAAAAATCCTTGATCTCAATGTGGTTGCTGATGGCCCCACCCAGTCGCTTGTGATCTCAGACTACGATCCTGGATTGAGTTTGTACAAGTTGAAAAAGACTGAGACCGCAGGGTCTAGTGCCACTCTTTCCAAACTGCAATTCGAAGTGGATGAGGTTGATGATAACTACTATACCAAGATCTTTACCCGCTTTGAAGGTTTGGGAATTTCTTTGATTAACACAAGATCGCAGGAACTTTGTTATATCACTTTGAGAGGCCTCGAGCTCAGGTACAATGAGTCCGACCTTTATCAAAACTTAAGTTTGAAGTTGAAGTGGGTTCAGATTGATAACCAACTTTACGGCGGCATCTTCCCTATCATTCTTTATCCTACAGTGGTTCCAAAGTCAGGTAAGGAGATGAATAGCCACCCATCGTTTTCAGGATCGATTTGCAAAGTGAAAGATGAGTCCCACGGTGTTGTATTCATCAAGTATGCCACAGTTTTACTCCAAGAAATGACCATGGAACTTGATGAAGATTTCCTCTTTGCTTTGTTGGACTTCTCTAAATTCCCCGGAGCTAGTTGGAATGCGCATGTTGAGGATAAGCTTTGTGATAACAATCTTGAGATTCCTGAACCAACAAAGTTGTCTGACGCAAGTGATATCTACTTTGAGGCTTTGCATTTGCAGCCAACTCTGACACACTTGTCGTTCGTGAGAACAGAGAGAGTTAATGCAGAGGACAGAACCTCATCTCAGAATACGATTATGTTTTTCGTGAATGTCCTTACCATGGCCATTGGTAATATCAACGATGCTCCAATCAAGTTGAACGCATTGTTCATTGAGAACATAAGAGTACCAATTCCTATTTTACTTGAATCTGTTCAAAAGCATTACGGACAATCCTTCTTCTATCAGTTGCACAAGATATTGGGATCTGCTGATTTCTTAGGAAATCCAGTGGGCTTATTCAACAACATTTCGTCGGGTGTGCTTGATATCTTCTACGAACCATATCAGGGTTTCGTTATCAATGATCGCCCTCAAGAATTAGGTATCGGAATTGCAAAGGGTGGCTTAAGTTTCCTCAAGAAGTCTGTCTTTGGCTTCTCGGACTCATTCGCTAAGGTTACAGGCTCCCTCGCCAAGGGTTTGTCGGTAGCAACCATGGATAAGTCCTTCCAGGAGAGAAGAAGATTAAACCAACGCAGGAACAAACCAAAACATGCGTTGTACGGTTTTTCGTCTGGAGCTAATTCCTTCTTTGAGTCCATCTCGTCTGGAGTGACCGGAATTGCAACTGCTCCAGCGGAAGGAGCCGCGAAGGGAGGAGCAAATGGCTTCTTCAAGGGACTTGGCAAGGGTGTCGTTGGTCTCCCCACCAAAACTGCGATTGGATTCTTCGATCTTGCCTCTAATGTGGGCGAGGGTATCAGAAATACCACGACAGTTTTCGACGCAGATGGCTTAGAGAAAGTTCGTCTCCCCAGATACGTCTCCTACGACCAGGTGATTCGTCCATACTCCCAGAGAGAAGCGCAGGGACAGTTCTGGCTTAAGTCCATTGATGGTGGACGCTTCTTCAATGAGACCTACTTGGCACACTTGCTACTTGCCGGAGAAGAGAAAGCGGTGGTGATTACGTTCAAGAGAATCATACTCTTCTCTATCGATTCACTCAAGGTCATTTGGGTGACGAACTTCGACCAGGTTAAGAGCATCGGCTTAGAGAGTACTGGTATTTCTATCAAGCTCAAGGCGAAGGAAGGTCCATTCATACCCATCTCGGAGAAGAAAAACAAGGATTTCTTGTACGCAAGGCTTCGTGTTGCAGTTGAAAAGTTCAATGAGCATGCTAAGGTGATCCAGTAATTAGGATTTATATACAAATTGATTAAGAGTTTGACCCGCCCTCTTCGCTAATCTCTTCATAAACGTCTCAGGGTCTTCATCGCCGCAGAATTGGAATTTTAGTTTCTTAGCTGCAATGGACCCATCAACAGTACGAATAATGAGACTGTTCAGCTGGGGATCGAGAAGGAATTCACCAGGGTTTTGAAGACCATGACAACTATGAGATATGCTAATGTCGTTTATGATAACTTTCTGAAGCTCATGGACCCTTTTCTTTTTCTTCGTGATGTCAACCTCCTTGTAGACATGCAAAGGGCCCAAAGCATCGCTCAAGCGCTTTATTTGCCGTGCTGTTTTGTTCCAGTCTATTTGTGCCATTTTGGGTGTTATTTTAGGTGCCAATGAAGGTGCAAAATGCAGTTGCAACGGCTTAACGGGGTCAGCGTATAAGCCCTTCTCGATAGCAGAAGTAAGCAATTCTGCACCAGCCTCCCCTAAACGCTCTGAAAGGGAAATGAAGTTGTCATCTTCCCGAATTGAGACAGGTTGAGATTGCAGGAGTATCAAGCCGTGATCAAACTTGGTAGGATGTAGCGTCTGAAGCGATACACCTGTCTCCTTCAAGTCATCCATTAATGCATATTGTATTGGCGAAGAGCCTCTGTACATTGGCAACAAGCTCGGGTGGACATTGAGCCCGCCGTATTTCATAGAGTTGAGGAAACCGCCCGGTATTAGCTTACCATACGAAACAGCCACGGCAAGATCGAACTCTTCAGTGTCGAGGATGTCTAGTGTTTGACTCAGTGAGTCCGACCTGAACGTCTGTATACCCCGTTGCTGGGCATATTCGCCAATGGGCACGTCTACCATGTTCTTGAGGTTTCGACCGGTAGGCTTGATAGATCTGGTAATCACCTTGATGGACGAGACAAGCAGCGGGTTCCTTTCATGGAGATCGTATAGTCTGCGTAGGGACGTGACACTGAACTTGTCAGAGCCAAAGAAGGCTATTCGTAGAGCCGGCAGAATTGTCATGGATCACTTTGGATGAAGCTGAATGCGAGCTTGATGCTACTTCTCCAGTGTAGGAATGGCTGCGAAAAACTGGTCGTTTTACCGTTGCGATAGTTCACGTATTATTCGACGTCATTGAAGAGCTATGTAATTTATCAAGCTTGTCAGGATCTTCGTCTGTAACATAAGCTGCTACAAAGCCCTGTTGCAGTGGGAAGTAACCGGATCGGCTACTAGGTGGATCAACCTTAGTTCCACCTCTCGGTCGCCTGGTATGTGCCTCTTCCGGCACTATGAGGCCTTCAGCGACCATTAGTTCATAGGCTTCCTCAGAATTGAGCTCCTCAGTGGATGCAGAGTCGCTTTGTTTGTAGAACCATTTGCCCACCATTACTCTCCTTGGTGCCCTTCTGCCCATAGGGTCTCCGTATATCTTTGCATCTCTTTGAAGGCGACGATTATCGATAAGTCTCTCGATACAGACGTAGATGCCAAGTCCGACGGCTCCCAGCACGAGAAACACAAAGATGATGTAGAAGATCATCAAAAGCAAGGCGAAAAGGCGCTCTGCTTCCTGGAGACTCTCCTCGATTTCCGAGACGGCAGTAACTGTAGCATTGAGGGGGAATTCATCGTATTTTACCAAGGGCATGGGAAGTTGGTATTGTGGTTACAAGAATGGTTGCAAAAAGCTGCGCACCAGGCGAGGGTACCAAAAGCAGGCTGAGGGGAGCTGTCATAAAGAGCGAGGAAGCAAGAAATCTGAACTGTGATTTTACTTCCAAATAAGTGAAGAAGAGGTAGAGGCATCTATATTTTGTAGATTCTCCGAAATCTCTTACTTACAGCTTTCGGTTATTGTTGACGTACAATTGATGGCCGAGTAGATGGCTGCAAACAGCAGAATCACCAATCTAACAGCACACCTGACTGCCAGTGGGACCATTGTTTCAGTGAATACTCTCCAAATTGCAATAATAATCCAAGCAGGTGAAGAGAGCAAAATTTTACGTCAGCTGTTGCTTGGTCCAGACAATACAGTGGTGTCATCCCAATTGCAGATTGACATCCAAGTCGCCCAGACATCCGGCTCCCACAGATCAACGATTTATCGAAAGGCGATTCATTCATGTTTTTCGAATGAAGAAACCAAAAAACTCACCGCCTTCAAACTATAAATCGCCGTTTGAAGTGAGTCAGCGAGGCTGTAATGTAGCGCCTGAAGGCCACAGCTGATCGACGCATAACTCTCTTAAACCGCCTGAAACTGCGCATCCACCCGAACCAGGCAGTGCAAAAAATTCCGTAGTTTTCCTCAGTGAAGGAGGGAGCTTGACGAAGTTTTGACTTTTTAAAAGATGTTTCTTTATAGGTTCTTGAAATTGACTCTTCTGCGCTGCCACAATGCTCTCCTGATGTCTGGCGACTGTTCCTGAAAATTACGACTCGCGTTGCGGTACACTGCAGACTCACTGGGTCAAACTTTATGCCCTAGCACCTTATAGACTTTCCTATTTTCAAAATTCAACGTCAATCTCTCGAATGCAGCTAACAAAAGACCCCCTCTTTAAAAAATATCTCTCATCTGTTACTTTAGTTTTTTTTTGTCTGCAACTTTTATCCTGAACACACCCCCCTCTCCAGATCGTCTCCGTCCCGAGGTGAGAATACACCTCACTAAATCAGCGCGACCCACCTACTTCACCCAATGCATCAATAATGCCTTCTACAATCACAAAGTCGCTCGTTCTCCTCCTGTGTACCTTTTTGGGCCTTGTTTGCGGTACCTTGTATCTATACTCGTCTTACTCGCCCCAGTTGGCCCAAAGACTCAACTACCTGGCTACAGACTCTTCCTTGATAGCACTCTGTGGATCACTAGGTGTTGCCGTGACGGGACCCGTGGCTGGAGTTGTTGTCGACCGCAAGGGATACTCGGTCAGTTTGTTCATAGGCGGAACTTCCATCTGTTTGGCGTATTATGGCCTCAAACGGCAATACTCCCAGGCCTTGTCCAGCTTATGGTACCTGTGCTTCTTGCTATTTAGCGTGGGACTGGGGTCCACCTTCATCAATTCAGCATGCCTCAAATGCTGTGCCGTGCTGTTTCCCAATATCAGAGGCGTGGCCACGTCGCTCCCTTTGGCATTGTACGGCTTGTCGGCGATGTTTTACTCCGTCGTCGCGTCCGTGTACTATCCCGGTGATACCTCGGGCTTTCTCGGCTTCTTGATTTTGTCTGTGGGCGTGATAACCGTCATCTGCTCGCCGCAATTGATGCTTTGTGACTTTAGAGACTTGCTGCCGAAGCGCCACAGAGCCAGCAACTCCGAGATCATCCAATTGACTACGATCGGACAAAAAATTGACTCTGAGCCAATCAAGTACCACGGCCTCCATCATAATTCAGAGCTCTCCGGTTTCGAGTTGCTACGAAACCCCCGCTTTTGGCTCCTTTTCATTGCCACTGGCGCTTTTGCATCGCTAGGCCAAATGTACATCTACACCGTCGGCTATATGGTCAAGGCATTGGTCACCAACACGTTCACGACGCCGGTTGACCCTACTGCAGAGTACGTCCCCATGGAGGTCGTCATCCAGCAGGAACAGCAGGTTCAAGTGGGCCTTTTGTCTGTCGCCAATTGTGTGGGCCGCCTTCTGGCCGGCATTTTAGGTGACATTATTAGTCAGAGTTTCAGGAAACCCCGTGGATGGCTTTTGTTTATCCCCGGCATCGGCCTTGTGGCAACACAGATCATGGGCTTGAGTATCACCGATCCGCATAATCTAGAGTGGGCCTCCATGCTTCAGGGCTTTTTCTACGGTTTCACGTTTTGCATAATGCCAATTATCGTCGGAGATGTTTTCGGAATGGAGAACTTCTCAGGAAACTGGGGTCTCGTGGGAATGTCCCCGATCGTCCCTTCCTTCTTCTTCACCAACCACTTTGGTAAGGTTTACGACAGACACACTGTCATGTCCGAATTGGGGGTGACAGTTTGCAGTCTTGGCAACGGTTGCTACAGACAGGTGTACAAGCTCACATTAGGCGTCAGCGTTTTGGCAATTCTTGTTGTGGCGACATTTAATTTTGGCGAACGCTACCTTGCAAGCCGCTCTCTATACCAGAAACGAGCCGGCATCAAGCCCGAGAAGCAGTAGCGCGACTGATGCACACTACCGGTACATGTCCAAGAAGTATGTACCTCCAAACCGGAGGGCCAAGTCCGGTCCACAATCAGAGCCTGATAAAAAAAAGGAGAGAAAGGAAAGGTTTAACAAACCTCAAAAGCTGGATTATGGCTACGTGTCGCGGGGCGAGGAGAACAAGCTTCAAAAAGATGCTTCCGCCCGTGAGACCTACTTCAGCGACATCAAAAAGATGGACCGCAAGAAGCCGGATCTTATCCTAGACTCTCTCAGAAAGCTACGAGAGGCAATGCTTCATTTGACATTGGACAACTTCACCAAGGAAGTGTATATGTACTCTTTCGAGTTCGGAGCCAGCGTCGGCAAGTATCAGACGTATGTGCCATGCGGGCAGTTTCTTCTACGAACTAACCTAATGACTAAAGAAGAGACGGCTTCGGTGGCCGCTATAATGACGCTACATATCTCTCACTGCAATCATGACAGTGGTAGAGCATGGCTGCTATATTTCCGCCATTTCAGCAGACAAGATCCTTTGTACGCCGTGCTCGAGGCATGGGATCTTGACGATTATGTAACATGGATGCAGCTATTTCGAAACGAAAAAGACGAACCCAGAAAGCAGGTGATGGAGCTCGGGTCTGGCAAGATGATGCGCCACATGGCCAAGTGTCTCACAGTGCTGTATTTCACAATGGCCGCCGACGAAATGGCTCAGCTCATCAACAGCGATCTAGATCGCTTCATTGAACAGTACAAACTCGGCTGGACCGTTGAAAAAGGAATAGTCACCCTACGCAGTAGAAATAGATAATGTTAGACGCCAAGGCAATATAGTTGTGCGGGTTCCCACATTCGCGACATCTCTAACTCTCCACTTTTAAAGGTACTCTCCACCACCATGAGTGATTTGTCCGGGCCGATTAAAATAGACGACATCGCAAGCGGGCGGATCGATAGTAAAGCTATCTTTGACGAGCTCGAGCGACTCAAAGCCGAAGTCAACATCCTAAGAAATGACATGTCCTTGTTTCTCAAGCAGCTAGCCTCCATTCCCGAGAAACACAGCCAACAAGAATACCAGAATGCCCTTCAACAACGGCTCACACAGGTTCAAAACACCATCAAGGAATACTGTGCTCGGTACAACCGCCTACTTCCTATCATTAACTTGTCTCAGATCAAACTAGGGCAGGAACCCGAGACTAATGCCAAGGCGAACGGCCTGCCGAAGAAACAGAACGCTTCACCGCAGAAGAACGGCCAGAGAAAGGGCTGAATGAAGAGCCCAAAAGTACGATGTTTCTAAGCTTAAACTGTGGTATACTGCGATATATCAACAAGGGTTGCGAACGCACGGTTATGATTGAGCCTTGTCTCGAGATTGTTGACTGCTTTTATTATCTTTTGAGAGGTTCTCCACTCGGTTCCATATCAAGGCTCGAAATATCCTCGCTTGCATTTTGACGACCCGTCACAGCTTAAGGTCATTGAGATCGATGGCAACTACAAAGAACACAATAGACGCTTCAATTCGCTTTCAAGTACGAAAGGCTCTTGAATGTGCCAGGGATCTCTTCATGAAGGTCGTTTCAGCTTCCTTCAATGGGCAGCTAGCTGGATTTCAACACTTAGATATGACCTACAAGATTCAGCTGTCACTTTCAACCGCTATTCGACAAGACTCGTTTCAGATACAGATGAAGGTTATGATTTATCTGTTCAACAAGCAAAATTAGCATCCCTGTTGACAGTCTATCATACCAACCTTCACCTCTTGACGGATGCGCATGCCTGCCGCTTTTCTTTTGCGGACGTCCGTTAGAACCTCAAATGGACCAGCACCCAATTTTGGTTAAACCGATACTCCAAACATTTCACATAGGTATCAGGCTCTCTGAATTTCGAGATATTCAAAATTCTATTTTTGCCCCACATTTCGCCAAAGGGTTACCCTGAACTGACTCATTGACAAGATAACGATCATGTATATAAGACTGCTGTGCTGCGCTCGAAGCTCATTCTTGATTTTTCAATCAGATCTATCAGTTTAGCTCTACACAATGTCTGCTTTATTGAAAGAAACTTTTGCCAGATGCAAAAAAGAGGGTAGAAACGCCTTGGTCAACTTTATCACGGCCGGTTACCCCTCTGTGGAAGATACTATTCCTATCTTGAAGGGAATGCAGAAGGGTGGTGTAGACATCATTGAATTGGGTGTTCCTTTCTCCGACCCAATTGCTGATGGTCCTACTATCCAGGCTGCCAACACCCAGGCCTTGGAGAACGGCATGACTGTTCCTAAGTGTTTGGAGATGGTTGCGCAAGCCAGAAAGGAAGGTGTCACCGTTCCAATCATTTTGATGGGATACTACAACCCTATCATGAAGTACGGCGAGGAGAAGATGGTTGAGGACTCCGCTAGAGCCGGTGCCAATGGCTACATTGTGGTTGATTTGCCTCCTGAAGAAGCTATCAAGTTCAGAACTACCTGCTCCAAGTACGGTATGAGTTACGTTCCTTTGGTTGCACCAGCTACCAGTGATGCTCGTTTGGAAGTTTTGGGAGGCATTGCTGACTCTTTTATCTATGTGGTTTCTCGTATGGGTACCACTGGTGCCGCTCAGGAAGTTTCTCTGAGTATCTCAGAGTTGTGCAACCGTGTGAAAAAGTTCTCTGGCGATACTCCTTTGGCTGTTGGCTTTGGTGTTAGTACTAGAGAGCACTTCTTGACCGTTGGTGCAGCAGCAGAAGGTGTCGTTATTGGATCCAAGATCATCACCCTTTTGGGAAGCTCCAAGCCAGGTGAGAGAGGTGAGGTCGCATACAAATACGTTCGCTCCATCTTGGGCGAGGACTTCAACGGAACTGCTCCAGCAGACTTCAAGCCTTACAGCGCCCCAACAGACATTAATGCCCCAAAGCCACTTTTGGAGGAAGATCACAAATACAACTCTAGATTCGGTGATTTTGGTGGCCAATACGTTCCTGAGGCCTTGCACACATGTTTGGCCGAATTGGAGAGAGGTTTTGAGTCTGCTGTTGCTGATCCAGGATTCTGGGAAGAGTTCAGATCATTATACTCCTACATTGGTAGACCATCGAGTCTACACAAGGCTGACAGATTGACTGAGCACGCTGGTGGTGCTCAAATCTGGTTGAAGAGAGAAGACCTTAACCACACTGGTTCTCACAAGATCAACAATGCTTTGGCTCAAGTACTTATTGCCAAGAGATTGGGCAAGAAGAGAATTATCGCCGAGACTGGTGCCGGTCAGCACGGTGTTGCTACCGCAACTGCTTGTGCCAAGTTCGGTTTGGAATGTTGTGTTTTCATGGGTGCTGAGGATGTGAAGCGTCAAGCTCTTAACGTTTTCAGAATGCGTATTTTGGGAGCCAAGTGCGTGGCTGTTACCAACGGTACACAGACTCTTAGAGACGCCACCTCCGAAGCTTTCAGATACTGGGTTTCTAACTTGGAATCTACTCACTACGTCGTTGGTTCCGCCATCGGTCCTCACCCATACCCTACCCTTGTCAGAACTTTCCAAAGTGTGATTGGTAGAGAGGCCAAGGAACAGTTCAAGGAGTTGAACGAGGGCCGTTTGCCTGATGCCGTTGTTGCCTGTGTGGGTGGTGGCTCTAATGCTACCGGTATGTTCTCGCCATTCGAGCACGACACCTCCGTGAGGATGTTGGGTGTCGAAGCTGGTGGTGATGGTTTGGATACTGAGCGTCACTCTGCCACCTTGACTGCCGGTATTCCAGGTGTCTTCCACGGTGTGAGAACCTACGTTTTACAGGACTCTGACGGACAAGTTCACGACACTCACTCCGTGTCTGCTGGTTTGGACTACCCCGGTGTTGGCCCTGAGTTGGCCTACTGGAAGAACAGTGGTCGTGCTGACTTTGTTGCTGCCACCGATGCCCAGGCTTTGGAAGGTTTCAGATTGTTGTCTCAACTTGAGGGTATCATTCCTGCTTTGGAGTCTTCTCATGCCGTCTACGGTGCTGTCCAGCTTGCGAAGACGATGTCTAAGGATCAGCACATCATCATTAACGTCTCCGGTAGAGGTGATAAGGATGTCCAGAGTGTGGCAAAGGCTTTGCCTGAATTGGGTGAGAAGATTGGCTGGGACTTGAGATTCGAGGACGACCCATCTAAGTAAGCATACGAGGTACGATCTTAAAAAAAGAATAAATATAAGTCTAATGATTATCTATAATGTATAATACAAGTGTGAAAATAAGTTATGCAAAACCACCCTTCCTCTTCTTCTTCTTTTGACTGGCGCCCTGTGAGCCGGGCCGCTTGAGTTTTTGGGAGAGCCTCGATGTAGCTGGTCTAGCTTGCGAGGATGATGGTTGTGACAGCATGATTTCAGGAATCTCTTGCGAACTACCAGGCTGTGGTGATTGAGAAAGCTGAGTAGACTGAGATGCTGCCGATTCTTGTGTCAATTGAGATGCTTGTGATGTGAGCTGGGACATATGCTGTGAATTTTGAGTGAGTGCCCGATGCAAAAGTCCTCTCTTCTTCGTATCAACTGTGGGTGGAGCAGATTTGGCTCTTACCTTTGGTATTTGGATGTCCCAATCGTCAAACATTGATGTGAGTTCAGAGCTGCAGCCTTTGAGGTCCTCCCGGTATACATCCTGTAAGCGAGACTCAATGTCGTCGTTGGACACTTTGTAAAAACTATTGGCCAAGATCATTGCTGCTTGGCTAACATTCGGATGCTCTGGATAGGTCTCTTCAAGAGACTTTTGAAGTTGTTGAACGGAATCACAGTTAGCGAGAGCCATCCCTTTCAACATGCGCCTCATATCCTTCTGAAGTTTGACACCGCATGACTCGTAAAAATCATTAAGTTGCTCGATCATCGAATCAAACTCTTCCATATCGTCGATAGTGATGGGCAAGCAATCAGCAATGGCAGATATGGGTGTGTATTTCGAAAGGTAGTCATCAGAACTCTTGCCAGATCCATTCGATACTTCTGTCCCATCTGTCCTCTCGGGAGAATCTTCTTCAATACGAAGTCGTTTCTTTATATCATGGCCAAGTCTGAAGGCATAGTTCTGAACGAGGGGTACATTGTCAGACTTTTCGTCTTCCCAGATCTCCTCGTTCTCGTTAGTCATTCGATTGGATGTGGAAAATGAGTGAAAGGCGTTCGTAGCTTCAGCTATCGAAATCATGTTGAAAATATCTTTCGAAACAGTTTCATCGTCAGGCGAGTCAGATGGACAGCTCTGAGAAGCTTCAGCGATAGAAAGTGATTTCACACCATGTAGACTCGAAAACTGGATTCCTGAGGCTGTAGCCTGAAATTCACAATACGTCAGCTTGTCTCTTCCATCGTAAACTATCCTATCAAACATAATGTAGCTGCACGTGTCATCGGTTTGAATGCAGCTTGGATCATTGAGAAGAGCCGGCTTCCCGTTGTGAAATCCGAATGTGTATATCATAGCCAATGGAGTGTTCTTGGAAAAGACTGAACATATGAACAGGTCCTTCTCTTCAGCCTCGCAAACATGAAGCTTCAATGAGGAGTCCTCATTATCTAGGTAGTGCTTCCACGAGACGAGTCTTTTGAAGGGAACTTCCACTCCGAGTTTAAGGAATATTATTTCTCTCGACGTGAGAAGAAAAGCATATCCCAGATGACTTTTAATGTCCCAAATGTTTGCCCACAGATTTGATGTAATAAGTTTTTGAACGGGAATCGAGGATTTGCGATTGAGGCGAAAAATGGTCGCCTCGTTCCGACTAAAGGCAATTAGTGATTCAGATTTGGGAGCCCAGCA